CCACAACTATAACTTAACGTGGTCCAAAAGCCGCCGGCGAGCAGTTTAGCCAGTTTTTTGGTTTGCTGTATGAGTTGAGCACTCGAGTCAGGTCGTTTGAACATGCCGGTACGTTTGAGTGAGGCGCGCATGCGCTTTACTTTGTGCTTATTGCAAGCGCTTCTTTGCGGCGCCGCCGTAAGTCAAAAGAGTTTTATTGGATCTGTCGCGTGTAACTTTTATTGTTTTATTATTCTTTTCTATTATACATCTTTTCTTTGGCCCGACGTGACTTTTTGTTTGCCCTTCCTGCATTCGTTTGGCATTTCTGCTGGGTGTGTATAAGTTATGAATATGATAATAAGGCACTTTAAAGCCACCGGGCGGCGAGTTACTAGTCAATTGTCGAGGCACAACAGGTTGGGTGTGTGAACAAATAGTTTTTGGTTAAATAACTATGATAAATAAAAATAAGAGTCTTCGTATCTTCATAAGCTTTGCCTGAATTATAAGAAAATATTTCATACAATTTGAAATGCATATCACATATACAATTTGTCATCGTGGCTTTGGGTAAATTTAAGTGCAATGACACTTAAGTTTAAAAAAAATTCAATGATATAATAGACAGGAATAGAAATATTGCTTAAGAAGTTATAAAAAGTTGAAAAGTTACAAAAAGTTGGGTCTTCACATTCTAACTCTCTAATGTTGGGCCTATAAAAATTCATATCGATTAACATAAATCAATATTCCACATTCAGACTTTTGATATAATTTTTCATGTGATCAGACTAGTTTATCCTTACAGAAGAATTTTTTAAAGGTAGTGTAAAATCAGTCTTTACGCCCAAACTCTTTTTGTATCAAAAAACTGTTTTCCTTTTAGATTCGACACAATTTATAAAAGCACCTATCTACTTAACTGACGACACTCGAATTTATTCTTGCGAATACGAAACCAATCGATACTGTTTTGGTGTTCCCAGATTTTAATACATCAAATAATAATAACAAAAGTAGTTCTCTAATGCTATATATCAGGACAAATCGTAGCTTGTTTTCAAGAACTAAAGGTCACGTGGTTAAAATATCTCGAAAAGTTAAAATGTTAACTTTTCCGTGCAAGATGATTGCTACTTGGAAGAAAGGGCAGGAAAAGGCAACGCATTTCTCACAAGGACATTCTGAGTTCTTCCGCGCTATTGCTGTACTGATTTAGTCCATGTATTTAATATACAGACTCAAAATTTATTTATATCCATCTAAATAAACTATTTTGAAAATTGTACCGAACTCTTGGAAAATAGTTCGTACAATAATTTTGCCATTTTCAACCGATAAAATATTGTCCCCACGTGAGTTTGATCCATGTTCTCTTGTAAAAAAATGTGAAAGCGAGGAGATAGTTATTCAACTGAATTCAATACTTATAAAGGGTGTTTTTTACATTTTGTTCTCAAGATGCATATAATGGGATGTTCTGATTCGGAATTCTGCATTATTATAAAAATAAGGGTTCGCCATTATATTTGAGCAAGTGACGACCGCGGCGGGTTCGAATTTCAACTGAGAGGCTCAATTTACAACCACAGTGACGAATATTCTCTTCCAAGACGTCATCGGGTTCCTCTGCGATGACAAGCCACTTCCCATAACCCCACAAAAATAGTCTGGCGGTGTTAAATCCTACGATCGGACGGCGTGGCCTCCAAGCCACAGACTAACTTCGTTTCGTTGGCTATAAGGCATGTTGCATGAAAAAGTCATTAATCATGGTTCTCTGCCCATTGAGCCTACCAAATAGTGACTTTTCAACGACGAACCGAACCATTTATTTGGTAATGTTGTTCCGGAGTAAGTCTATTCATTATGAAATAGCAAAAACAGCTGACAAAAGGAGGCTGAAGGGAGTGGTGTCTAATTGAAAACCACACGTCTTAAAAAAACACCCGTTATTACAAAAATCACATATTCAGACATCCTATTTTTAAATACTAGTTTGAGTGGTTCACAACCGATATGGAAATGCTTCTAGTCAGAAAGGTATATTTTTTTAGGAAACTAGTTATCGATTTAAGGCAGTTATCTGGCTTAAACGATAGAGCTTCTTTAAATATAATAAACCTTACTGAGAAGTTGCCCCTTCATCTGGACTAGAGCGTAAGTTAACCGCATTCACCGAATTTCAAATTTCATCTCCTCACTTGCATTTTTAACAGGTATTCTTGTGAGACTGAATAGACCGGTAATTTTGTTTATACAAATGGAATTTAAATTAAAAATATTTTGCTTAAAATTAAGTCACCGTAAAGTTCCTTTGAACGAAAACTTATAAATTCATTTCAATAAATACTTTTTTAACTTTTTAACTGGAAGATGTCATAACAAAGTAATGATGTCGCTAGTAATGAGACAGATCCGTTTCGGAAGAACAAACATATGTACACTGGTTTTGTTAATAATTGAGAACTGAAGCCAACGTTACCACCAATGGGAAGCGCTTAAGGGGCACTCCTGGTATGACAATCAAAAAAGGCAATTTTTGGGTATTAAAATAACGTGATTCCGACAAAATCCTGAATGGATTACAATCAAATTTGGTACTTTGTCAAGTTATATTACAGATCATAGATTCAATTAGTTTTATTGTAATATTTTAGTTCGCGTCAGCTAAAATTTGTGAGAACTAAATATCCATACGGAATTTAGCCCACAAAAAAGTTAATTTAAACAACACAACAAGTATTGGGCTACAACGGGAAAACCACGCCACTTCTAGCAACACACGCCATCCTAAAACAACATGTTGCGAACGGGCGAGCAAGCAACACACGGCTTGGCGGAAAGCAAGCAGGCCGATCATCAGGGAGTCAACACAGGACTGTAACGATCAAACGCATGACACTAGACTTAGCAGTGAGTCGATCCTCTGGCTAGTTGTAGTGTCCTGAGTTGTGAACGCCGTTCATTTAGGGTGAGCTTGGTAGTGAGTCGATCCTCCGACCGACTCAACCCTTAACTTTCGGTCGCCAACACAGTCTCCTGTGGTCCAGTATTACTTTTTTCACGGCAAGAAACGAGCTGCGGTAGAATCGGGATCGAAGCCTACAACGTAAGCAGCAGCACATCGTCACCTAAGCCTAGCGTCGTAGCACACACGAGCGTCAACTCACGCAGCGGTAGAATCGCCGTCGAAGCCATCATCACAACAGGACACAAAACGTAAGTCATCCTAAGCCGCTTAGCACACCCAGAGCGCGGCAGAGTAGTATACGCTATCGTATAAGAGTGCGAAGGTTGGAAGTCACGCGTGAAGTGGGTAGTGAGTCGATCCTCTGACCTGCTCCACGCTTGGCATCGCGGCCACTGCCACTGCCCTCCTACTACAACGCGGAAGACACCATTTTGTGATTGTAAATTGAATAAAGAACGATTTGTAAAAAGAGCCCCACAGCTTACAAATTTATTGTAACGAACCCTGAACACAGTGAGTATACCTCAGCAAATCATAAGAAGCAGGGGGCAGCAAAAAGCTTCGTTACAAACTATATTAAAAACATATTTAAATGTGATATACCATATGTGATATAAACTCAATCGAAGAGGCTAAATTTAAGATATTGAGATGATGTGGAAAACATTATTATTAAGGTATACTCGAAAACATTTTTTTAAGCAATTTTATAAATAAAGAACCCACATACTGACTGACATAGTTGGTATAAGGTTTGTAAAAATAACAAAAATCATTTTATTTACATATGAAGTTAGGGTTGATATTTTCGAAAAAAAATTCGTAGTAGGATCTGGGGCCCACAAATTCCGTATCTGTGGGCTTGAATAGTTATGGACCGATTTTGACAATTTTTTTACTTGAGATGGCATATATTGAAGGCAAAATTTTATATAAATATATGCGTTAGTGCTTGATTTGTATAATAAAAAGTTAAAAAATCAGTAGAATTTAAATTTGTTATTTATTTTAATCAGGATAACGTTACTTACCAAATTTGGTTGAAATCGGTCAAGTAGATCCCGAGATATGATTAGTTCGAAGGGTTACCTCTCTATTTCACCAAATTTCACACTGTCGGTAGGGGTGCAAAAAATATTGTGTGAATTTGGTTACTATAGCTTTAGTGGTTAAGCAGATATGCATATTAAATCTAATAGAGGGCGTGGTGGGAAATATGCGTTTAAAGATCTTTTTATACTCTTTTAGGTATAATAAAATAAATGCACATGTGAAGGATATTATAGCTTCGGTGCAGCCGAAGTTAGTGATTTTTTTCTTGTTTTTGGTGATGAATTGAGAGTATGGTCTAAGTCCAATCTAAATTATGCAGTTTCACTTGTACTAGCTTTCTACAAACATTTTTATTTAAATTTTTTATTATAAAACTCGTTTTTTAAACTATAGTAATGTTCCTAACAACCGTATATACGGGAGACTGTCTAAATCAGATGCTCTTTCCTCTATTCATCTAATTGGCTCTTGGCTAGCGTTTTAAGTGAGTCCTAAAGCCATAGTCTGTATTTCTATGATCATATTTTCCACAAACTATCTTCCTTACTTGCTTACCCTTTGCTGGCATCAACAAAAGCGTTTAACCGTGAAACTTCATCCTTCTCAACCAAATCTAACTATCTAATTATACTAGTAGTAGATTAAGTAATAGCTATAGTGAAGGAGTACATG